TACTTCAGGATTCTTTGATGTGTGTGTGTATATAAACTAAACTGAAGAAAACCAGAAGGATTTACTAGTACCAAAGCTGACAGAGCTATTTGAGCTGTAGATGAAAATTTCCCAAATTAAGTTCAGATCATCTTACAGGTGATTTCTATTAATCTTTCAAGAAAGAATTTTCAATGTAATATCAATTTTTGTAGAAAATTTTAAAACTAAGGTCTTTTCTGCAACTTCTTCTATAAAACCAGCATCACTATATGGCAATAACCAGAAGACAATAATAATAAAATAGAAGAAGTATATAAGTATTTTTAATTTATAAAATGTAACAAAATTGATTTATCCCCAAATCATAAAGACGGCTTAACATTGCTATTTATGTAATTCTCTATCTAAACAAATTAAAGAAGAAATATATATGATCATCCCTTAAAAGCAAAACCACATTTAATAACATGCAAAGGTACTCATGTAAAATGAAGTAAAATTTTGCTGAAGAGAATTAAAAAACAGTTGCAGCAGTACATTCACACAGCACTGCCAGAAATTCAAGCTGATTCAGAAGAGGGATATCATTGTTGATGTCAGATGGATCTTGGCTGAAAGCAAAGAATACCAAAAAGATGTTTACCTATGTTTTATTGACTATGCAAAGATGTTCAACTGTGTGGATCTTAACGATTTATGGATAACACTGAGAACAGGAACTCCAGAACACTTATAGGTGCTCATGAGGAACCTGTACACAGACCAAGCAGCTGTCATTCGAACAGAACAAGGGGATACTGCATAGTGTAAAATCAGGAAGGCTGTGTGTCAGGGTTGTTTCTTTTTACCCTACTAATTCAATCTGTATGCTGAGCAAATACTCTGAGAAGCTGGACTATATGAACAACAACGTGGCATCAGGATTGGAGGAAGATTCACTAATCCACCATATGCAAATGAAACAACCTTGCTTGCTGAAAGTGAAGATGACTTGAAGCACTTAATGACGAAGATCAAAGACTACAGTCTTCAGTATGGATTACACCTCAACATAAAGAAAACAAAAGTCCTCACAACTAGACCAATAAGCAACATCACAATAAATAGAAAAAAGATTGAAGTTGCCAAAGATTTCATTTTACTTGGACCCACAATAAACATTCATGATAGCAGCAGTCAAGAAATCAGACGTCGTAATGCAGTAAGCAAATCTGCTACAAAAGATCTCTTTAAAGTTTTAAGGAGCTAAGATGTCACTTAGGATCTCTGGTAGCATAGTGGCTAAGACACTTGCCTGCTAACCAGACGGCTGGCGGTTCAAACCCACCAGCCACTCCTCGGAAGGAAGGTTGGGCAGTCCTACTTCCGTAGTGATACTGCCTCAGAAACCCAAGGAGGGGTCGCTATGAGTCGGGGCCGACTCGACGGCACATAACAACAACAACAAGATGTCACTTGGAAGACTAAGGCGCTCCTGACGCAAACCATGGTATTTTTTAATCGCCTCATATGCATGTGAAAGCTAGACAATGAATAAGTAAGACCGAAGAAAAGTGGATGCCTTTGAATTACAGTGTTGGTGAAGAATACTGGGAATACTATGGGCTGCCAGAAGAACGAACAAATCTGTCCTGGACAATAATGGCCAGACTTCGTCTCACTTACTTTGGTCATGCTGTTACAAGGGACCATTCCCAGGAGAAGGATGTCATGCTTGGTACAGTAGAGGGTCAGCGAAAAAGCAGAAGACTCTCAAGAAGATGGATTGACACAGCGACTGCAATGATGTGCTCAATTACCACATGGTTCGTTCTGTGGTAGATAGGGTCGCTCTGAGTCGGAGCGGCTCCTCACAACAATCTATTCCTGCCAAACCCCTGCTCTCAATTACCTATCTTGGACTCCCCTCATTGTCTTTCAGCCAATTATAATTTCTTAACTTTCATTTCCTGCTCCAACTGTACAAAAATGTTTTCTCCTTCATTGGCCGGCGGAGCGGCCATCTTCACTCTAAATTTGAACGTCTTCCTGGTACACACACACACACACACACACACATTTGGACGTCTTCCTGGTACACACACACACCTGCCACCCTAAACCGCACATCCCGTTCACTCCGTCCAGCCACACTGCGCAGGGCAGCGCTGCACCAGTCCTCCGACCAGGTCCTCCCTTCCGCCTCAGAGCCCCAAGCCGGACTCAGAGAAAGGGGCGACTGCCACTAGCTGAGCCCCGCTTCATCCTCGTGTTAAGGTCCTAGGCGAGTGCTGTAAAAACACAATGGCCATCGGCCACCCTCCAGCCAACCTGCCTCCCGCAGGAGCCAGCGTCCAGAAACCCGCTGGCTAACCCAGGCGGGAACCCAACCTCAGTCCCTTTAAAGTTGTATTCGTGGCCTTAGGGCTACTACACAGGCGTGCGAGGACCTCAAGGAGGCCTGCTCGGTGGAACGCCTGAAGGACCCCGCTTGGGCCGCGCAAGCTGACTAGCGTGGTGCCTGACGGCCGGGTTCACAGCAAGAGAACTTTGTGGATCCCGACCCGAATTCAGATTGGATCCGGCCTCCAAATAGCCCAGAAACTGGATTAGGCTTGAACCCCTGGTACCATGGGGCGAGGATCGCGCTACTGAAGGTCTAGGAAAGTGGAAGGGGTCGACGGGGCCGGTCTGGAGTTGAGGCCGTGAGCCTGGGGGTCTGGAGGCGCCGGGCCTCAAGTTTGGGGGGCAGAGGCGGAGTTGAGGGTGGGAGTATAGCTGAGTATAGGTGGGAGTATAACCGGCTTGGCCGCTGGCCTCGGAGAAGTAGAGACCTCAGATGTGAAGGATAAATGCCCAGGCAGCTTCTAAAATTGTAATTCTCTGATGCAGTGACTCTAAATTGAGCGAGTGACTCTTTAAATTGAGCGAGTTTTTCAACTTCTCGACATTTGTTGTAAACGAAGAGCCAAGACAGCCCTAACTTAACTGGCATTAGAAAAGGAAGTTTGTCCTCTCACTACAAGCAGTATGCCCTTGCCGGAGACCCCTAGCAGCCTGGCTTTGGAATGGATAGCTCAGGCTCATTCACTGAGTGTTTCGCCAAATACTGATTGAGAGTCACTCTGCATAGGTACTGACAATATAGTGGTGAGGAAAACAAACACCTTCTTTCATGGAGCTGACCTTCTAGTAGTGGAGACATAAAGAAATCAAATAACCTGTAAAATTCCAAATTAAAGAACATGTTCAAGGAGCAGTGAGAAGGTATAAAAGGGAAAGTGAGCTAAGATCTACTGAGATGGAGGTAACCAGGGAAAGTATATTCTGGACTGCAAACTCCCCTACACAAATGCTGGCAGGGCATAAAGTTTAATAGAATTGAAAGTCTCATGAGGCTGAAGCAAAAGGAAGCTAGAGTGTGGGGTTCCAGATGAGACGGGAGAGGTAAACGCAGGGACCAGATCCCATAAAGCCTGATAAGCCATGGTAAGGATTTTGGCTTTTATCCTGAGAGCAGAGTACTCTTTAAAAGGTTAAGGAGAGGAATAATATGATTAGATTTGCATTTTTATTCACTCTGGCTGCTGTGTGGAGAACAGATCATAGACAGTGGCAAGAGTTAAAACTGGAAGACCAACAAGGAGGCTGTTGCCGTCCAGGCAAGGGTGATGGTGTCTTGGACTAGGATAGTGACAGTTGAGAGGGAGAGAACTGTATGTAATTGAGATATAATTGAGAAGGAAAATTGCCAGGACTGGTGATAGCATGGGTATAAAGGGTAAGGAAAGGGAGGTGTCAAGAATGGCCCCCTAGATAAAGATTGGTAAAGATTATACTTTACCAGTTAGATCTGGTAAAGATTATACTTGCTCTTAGGTTACTCACCATCTGGATATTAGGAAGAGTGGCATGGCTAATCTTGCACTAGTTAAACTGAGCTTGACTTTGTGTTTGGAGTGGAACATCAAACTGAAAGCTGTAGGAAGGACATGAGTAGAAGACACTTTGGCATAGCTTCCTCGTTTGGACCAGACCCTCGCATCACCTTTAATGTGATTGCTAGGTTACGGTCAGGCTAAGAAAAATGAGAGTGTTGTCCGCCTCTGTGCCTGCAAGTCTTCATTGAAGTCTTCTCTGTTTTTTGGAAGATTTAGGGGTTCTGTCAGATAATCTTTTGAGACCTAATCTTTACTCCTACGGAGGTGATCACTTTCTCAAATTAAATTGAACTCTGCAATTGGAAGAGACTTCAAAATCTTTAGTCCAGTTTATAAAATGTTTATGTTCGTTAATGTCATTTCCACAATTGTTTCTTGAGCTTTTACACCATGCTAGACACTAGGAATATAGAGATGAGTAGAATAAGATACTATATGTTAATTTCATCAATAAAATTGATTGAGCACCTTCTGTCAGGCACTCTGTAGCTACTTCAGATACAAACTCACCTTGAAATTGTATGCCTACAAGCCTTGCAGTTTTGCACAGTTGAGAGTATTAAAGGCCTCTGCCCATATCAAACCTGACCAACCTAAGATTAGATAAACAATGCTGTGTATCTAGCAGACTTTTTGGTATGCCAGCAACATACCAATTCTTGTCTATCAATCTTCTAATTCTGGCATTGATGGGGAGGACACTCTGGGATAGAGGGTTTTAAGAGGGGAATCAGTCATTACACCCTGTGACAAGCCTGTTTGGGACTATAAAAACACAAAAGAAACTTAGGAGGGGAAAGGTGTATTGATGGGAGTGGGTAGTATTTAAACTTGAGTTTCTCCTCAAAGGCTTATAGTTGCACAGACCAGATTCCACAGGGCAGATGGAATGCCCTCTCCTCACCCTTCCCCTAAATCCCATGACCCCAGTGGGCAATTAAGTAAATAATGTACACAGCCTTGCTGTGTAACTGTCAGTGCTTTTTGAGTGTCAGAGTGAAGAGACTTTGGCTTACAAGATGACACCGCTTCAGAGTAGGAAGGGATGGGAGTGCAGTACTGGCAGATCTCTTACCCAGCTCTTCGATGGCAGGAGTGAGATGGCCTCAATCTTACGAAACCCTCAGGCGCTTCAGCTCACTCTAGCCCTGATCAAGCCTGATGCAGTTGCTCACCCACTGATTCTGGAGGTAAGATTGATTCCTAAGCCTCTACTGTATGCCCTGGTTGTTGCTAACATTTTAGTTGCCACTTGTGGCAACTTTCTGTGAGGTCCTTTGCTAGATCCTGTGGAGGTAAAGTTAGGGAACCATGGACACTGACCCTAAGGAAATTAAAAAATCTTTTGGATAATTGGAACAAATAAAATGTGAGAAGTGAACCAATAAGATGATTAAAAAAAAAAAGACCCAATCCCCAAGACAAAATGTGCTCATTCTCTATTGCTACATATTAGCACAAACTTAGCTTAAAACAGCACCCATTTGTTATTTCATAGTTCTACAGAATAGAGGTCCAGTAGGCTTAGCTGCATTCTCTTCCTAGGCTAGCTGGACCATTATCTGGAAGTTCTGGGGGAGAGGACACTTGGAGGTTATTGGAAGAAGTCAGTTCCTTGTGGTTATAGAACTGAGGTCCTCGTTTCCTTTTCTGGCTATCAGACAGGGACTGGTCAGTTTCTAGAGGGCTTCTACATAACCTCATCACACAACTCCCTCCATCTCAAAGGCAGCAACAGCTCATCAAATCCTTCTTACGCTTCAAATCTCTCTAACTTCTTTAGCTCCCAGCTGGAGAAAATTCTGCTTTTAGAGCACTCATGTGACCCACCTATATAATCTCCCCTTTGAGTAACTCAAAATCCCTTTTGCCATATAATGTCACATAATCAGGGATATGATATCACATCATATTCACAGTACTGGTGATTAGCATAGGAAATCTTGGAGGCTGCGGGAGGTGTCATCTTAGGATTCTGCCTGCAATATTGTGACACATGCTAGTGAGCAGCCCTGATAAGTAAGGCCACTGCAGTGCAGAGGAAGACCAGAGCAATCGGGAACAATGGCCTGGAAGTGGTAGGACTCAGCTGGGCCACAAAGGAAGGGTGAATTTCAGTTAGTGCACAGGAGGAGGATGGGTGTTCCACAGAAAGGAGATGCTGAGGCAATGTGTATGAAAAAAAAAAAAAAAGGTGTGTATGTGGTGGGTTTGAGGTCATAGGTAGGCTGGGTTGGTCACACTAGAGAGTTGGAAGGGGTAGAGAGCAAGGAAAGTGTAGCCTTGAGCCCTGGGCTAAAGTGATTATACTTCAGTCCATGAATAATAGAAACCAACCAAAAGCTTCTGACCAGAGTATGACATGTCATTTATGGTGTTTTCAGCCTATCACAGCTGATGGTTTGGAGAGAGTAGGAGAAACTTGAGGTGGAACCACTACCAAGAGACTTTTATGGTATTCTTAGTGGTAGATCTTGTGGACTTGAAGCCAGGAGGCTGCAGGAATGGAAGGGCAGAGACAGTACTTGCTCATGATCTGGCTGTGTGACTGGAGGTCTTTACCTCACCTATCCTTCTGCCCTACCAATGAGATAGACCCTCAAGTCCTGGGCTCTGAGGAGTCCTCATGGTTCTTTGGTCAGCCTGGGTCTCCTGTTCACTGGCCCCTTTGCCTGATTTTTATCTTTGGGATGGTTTTTATCCAGGCTGTTCATCAGCAGATTCTGAGCAACAAGTTCCTTATAGTACGAATGAGAGAACTACTGTGGAGAAAGGAAGATTGCCAGAGGTTTTACCAAGAGCATGAAGGTAGGACCAGGAATCTTCTAAGTGGGAGGCTTCACTATTGTGAGAGGGAATCAAGAGAGATTTTACCTGGAACGCACAGTGGCAGGCTCTTTGACCTAAAAATTATGGGTAATTCAACCAATTCTTCCAAAATCTTGGTTTATACACAAACTTTTCATGATCATCAGTCATTTAATATTTTCTGGGGGTGCTCTAACTAATAGTCACAGCTAGAAACTTGATTTCATGTCCTGATGATAATATCAGTAGTTAACATTCAGTGAGTGTTACACTTTGTCAAACATTGTCCTAATGCTATTTCATTTCACTCTCCAGCAGTACCACAAGGTAGATTATATCCCCAGTACACAGATTAGAAATCTGAGTTAGGAAGGTTAACTACACAGCGGGTTGTAAGTGGCTGAGCCTGGATTCAAACCCAAGTGTGTCAGACTCCACAGTCTTTGTTCTTTTCTCCATAAAGTTATTACAGAAAAGGAGGTAGAAATACAGAAACTTCTCTTGAGTACCAGTGTCTTGATGAAGGTACTTTTCTTTGCAGGACGTTTTTTCTATCAGCGACTGGTAGAGTTCATGGCCAGGTACTTTCTTTTTTTAAATTTTTTTAATGCATTTTATTGAAATATAATTTATATACAGTGAAATACACAAAACTAAATTGATATGGGTCAATACAATTTTTTTTTCACTGTTCCTTCCCCTCCCCTCCCACCCCTCGTAACCAACAAAGTAAGTTTCCTTCCATATATAAACCTTTCCTTGACTTTTTACAATAATGAACTAATACTGTATTTGTCCTTCTGTGACTGAGTTATTTCCCTCAGCATAATGCCTTCCAAGTTCATCCACATTATGCGGTGTTTTGCAGATTCTACATTATTCTTTAGGGTTGCATAGTATTCTACTGAGTGTATGTACCATAGTTTGCTTATCCATTCTTCTGTTGATGGTCACCTAGGATGTTTCAATCTTTCTGCTATTGTAAATAGTGCTGCAATGAACATGGGTGTGCATGTGTCTGTTCTTGTTCTAGCTCTCACTTCTGTAGGATATATATCTAGTAATGGAATTGCTGGGTCAAATGATATTTCTAATTCCAGCTTTTTAAGGAATCATCATGGACAAGTACTTCTAATTTTAGTTCCAGAATATCCACTGTGGCATATCTCCCCTCCCCCCCCCAAGCAGAAGAGTTGATTTCATTTTCTGCTCTGTAAAGTTGTAATCAATATCAAGTCTAAAGAAACATGGGCTTGAGGCTCTGACTGAGCTGACCCTGATCTGGTGGCCACCTGTCCCATGGTACTTAACTGGTCCAGTGGCTATGGAAGAGTATTGTTGAATGCTGCCTGGCTGCTCTTGGGCCTTTCCTGTACATCAGCAGTGGCCCTCCATTACCGTCTATTTGAAGCTGCATTGGTACTCAGCTAGAAAGTCAAAGGAACACTCAGGATGTATGTGGTGCTTTTATTCATGCCCTGCTCACAGTGTCCCCTTCTGGGCCAAATGGCCAGATTCCTGACATGTACCCCTCTTACTCACAGTGGGCCAATCCGAGCCTACATCCTTGCCCACAAGGATGCCATCCAGCTTTGGAGGACATTGATGGGACCTACCAGAGTGTTTCGAGCACGTCACATGGCCCCAGATTCAATTCGTGGGAGTTTTGGCCTCACTGACACCCGCAACACTACTCATGGCTCTGGTGAGTCTGCCTTATCCACAGCCACAAATAAGGGAAGAAGTTTTGAGATTGGTATGCTGACTGTTTGGTGGGGCTGAGAGCCAAGTTCCCGAAAGGGGCCAAGTTGCCATTTGTGTGCCTGGCCTTCTTGGCCATAGGCAGATGTGGCCTATGGACTTTCTTTACATACCTAAGACTGAGAGGTCAGACAAGAAGTAAAGGCTTATCATGGCAAGGGTTTCTAATCCTAATTATGAAAACCATTTGCCTCCATCCTATACTGGTATGAAAACACCTTCTCGTTCTTACAGACTCAGTGCTTTCAGCCAGTAGAGAGATTGAAGCCTTCTTCCCTGACTTCAGCGAACAACGCTGGTATGAGGAAGAGGAGCCCCAGTTGCGGTGTGGCCCTGTATGCTACAATCCAGAGGGAGGCATCCACTGTGCAGCTGGAATAAGAGACTTAAGACCTGCTTGATGCATGCTTGTCAGTATGTGAAGAGTGGTGGTATTGGCCAGCTTTTGCTTTTAGACCTGTGGTCAAAAGCATTATCCTACAGCTAAGGAAGCCTGGGCTCATAGTGCCATCTCTGTTGGCACCACTGCCTCCCTGAGAGCCAAGTTCATCACTGCCACCTCCTCTAGAATCTTGCTCTGTATCTACCTCTTCTCTGGAATGTTCACAGTTAGTTCAGAAGAATGGTGGACAACTAAAGCTGGTCACCTTTTTGGTTCTTTTTGTTGAGAACTGTCCATCCTTCTTCAAGGAGTAGCTCACTTAATTGACTTGCCTGGGTTATAAATCCCCTGTAAAACAGAATGACTCTGTGTAAGGAGCATTTAGCTTATATTCCTTAATAAAAGTGTTCTACTAAATGCTTGAGGTTAGAAGCACTGCTTTAGGGTCATTGCCTTTCTCTCTATCCTTACTTAGTGAAACCTGCCCTGAAATCAGGTTTCTGGTGTGTGCTAAGTGAAGAGAGAATTGGGTAGGAGTCTCTCAGTAGACTGACACAAGTGAACAGCTTACATAGTGCATAAAGGTGCCCAGCAAAGAAACAGGGTGGGCTCAGGGCTGTGTCTTGGAAGAAGAGGCACCTTTTTTTTGAACAAACATGTGTCTGCCCAGTTGGAACATGTTTCTATGATTCACTTTTTTCTAATTTGCACAAAGGCACAAAATATAGCCATGTCTTCCATAGATCTGAGTTTAACAGTTACCTATTGCTGCATAATAAATCACCTCAAAATTTATTGGCTTAAAACAATCATTTATGCTTATGTTTCTGTGGATTGGTTGGGTAGTTCAGCTAATTGGGTGGTTCTACTGGGCTTATCTGGACTGACTCATGGCTGTATTCAGCTGATGTGTCCACATGGTTCAGCCTGAGTTGCTTTACAGCATGACAGCAGGTCCCAATTCACAAGCTTATCAAGTCTTTGCTTGTATCATGTTTGCTCATAGCTCATTGGCTAAAGCAAGTCACATGACCAAACCTAGAGCCAATGTGAGGAGGGGATGTACAAGGGCATCTATACCAGGACATGTAAATCATTGGGACCCATTACTATTGCAGTCTATTACACTGTGAGTTAGAGGTAACCATATAAGGGAAGTTGGTTGACTGAAGATAAGCAGACTGAAAGATTTACACTCTTTTGCTACCTCTTGTTTAGAGTGAAATGTCTGGGATTCTTAAATAATCTTCCTACATCAAAGTCTGTAAATGTATCTACATATGCACCCATCTCCTTCCTTCCTGTTGCAACATAGGAAGGGCCCCACTTCCTATCCAAGCCAGTCCTTCATGTGCTCTGGATCCCATCTCCTCTTTTCTCTGAGACTGTGTTCTTTGGTTTTCTATCTCTACTGCACCTTTCACCCTTCTCCACTGAGTCCTCTGATCGCTAATGTTGTGTGTCAACTTGGCTGGCCCATGATTCTAAGTGGTTTAGCCATTATGATGTAGTTATCCTTCATGATTGTGTTGGATTGGGTTCTCTAGAGAAACACAAAAACCAGCAAAGTATATATATATATATATATATATATATTGAGAAAGAGAGAGAGAGAAATTTATCTTAGATAAAGCGTGTAGAAGCCGACAAGTTCAAGCTGAAAAGTTCGTCTCTGGAGGGGGATGGGGCCCAGGGCCGTCTGGCTTTCACACGCACGGCAGAGGAGTTCAAGTCACAAAGTTCGTCTCTGGAGAGAGATGGGGCCCGGAGTCGTCTGGTTCCCGTAAGTGCAGCAGAGCCGGGAGAATCAAACTGACACGCAGGGTCGCCGTTCCCAACAAAGAATGAATCCGAAAGCCTCCGGGGGCGAGCAGCGAGCTGCTTACTCCAGGAAGTATATAGTCCGGAATGCCGTTCTTCCAGTTTGTCCCTGGGATAGTATTACAGGTAGGCCACACCCCTGGGGAAACTCCCCCTAGACTGACCGGCCGCTTAGGACGCAGTCATGTGATCCATCATGGGAACTACCACTCACAACTGGAGTCCAGTCAAGTTGACACATCTTCAACTATCACAATGATGAAGTCTGATATAATGTCATCATCTCCCTGATGAGATCTCCTTTGAAGTATGGCCTGCTTCCAATATATATGGAGAAGCTCTGGAAGAGCTCTCTGGCTTTTTGCTGGATCTGGATCCTGCATCTTGCTCATCATCATTTCTGGTTCCCAGACTTGAACCAGTGGCCAGCTGTATTACCTTCCAGTCTTGGGATTGTTGCCTTTGCAGCCTATGAGCCCACAGCCTACCATCTTACCTGCCAATCTTGGGTTTGGCAGCCTCCAAAGCCAACAGCCTGCTATATTGCCTGTCAGTCTTGGGTTTGTTAGCCCCTACAGTTGTGTGAGTCATGAGAAGCCTCCAGCTTAACATGTAACCCATGGACTTGGGACTTGCCAGCCTTATACCTGCATTAGTGGTTTCCTTGAGATAAATTTCTCTCCTCTCTCTCTCTCTTTTTCTTTCTCTCCCACCCCACCCCGACCCCATATGTATATATGAGCTTCACTGGTTTTGCTTCTCTAGAGAATCCACCCTAAGGAAGTGGATAGAGCAGGACTTGCTGTATATCCATTTTACATATGAGGACACTGAAGTCAGAGGAGGTTTCCAACTGTCAAAGCTGGAAAGCAAACCAGATATACTGACCCCATGTCAGGACTCTTTCTATACAGTCAGATCTGGTCTGAATCACAGCCACTTCCAACCTCCCTCATGGGGTTAGTTTAGGAGCAACACCAAAACGAGACAAAGCCTAGCCACTTTCAAGGGGAAAGTGAATAAACATTGTTACACTATTATTATGAGCAAGTATAAGTGGTTCAACCCCAAATCTCCCTTTGTCATCTGCCATGAAACATGCAGAGACCTGCCCCAGGGTCTAGATCTAGAGCAGGCCTATGCAACAGTAGTACAATGCAAACCCAATTGGGAGCCACATATGTCATCTTAATTTTCAAATAACCATATTTATAAAGGTAAAAAGAATGAAATTAATTTTAGTAATAGTAGTGATACTGCCTCGGAAACCCAAGGAGGGGTCGCTATGAGTCGGGGCCGACTCGACGGCACATAACAATAACAACAACAACAACAACAATACTATTTGTTTAACCCAATATATCCAGACTCTTACCATTTCAACATGTAATCAATATTACGGGATTTTAATGAGCTATTGTATTCTTTCTTTTCATATTAAACCTTAGATATCCTCTGTGTATATTTGTACCTAGAGCACATCTCAGTTCAGTCTGGCTACATTTCAAGTGCTGAAGCATTACATAGTGGACAGTACAGGTGCAGGGTGAGGAGTAGAACCTTCTGGAAGTCCTGGGTCCAGAGTCTGTCAGTCATCATTGTCCAGCCCAAAAGAGGCCAATCACAGCTACTTGCCAGCATCCTTGAGGCTGCATAGTCTGAGGACACCATGTTCTTAGTGTTTTTAGAAGCCGTCAAGTCAGCTCCAACTCAATAGCAACCCTATGCACAACTGAAAGAAACACTGCCTGGTCCTGTGCCATCCTCACAGTCTCTGCCATGCTTGAGCCCATCGTCACAGACACTGCGTCAGTCCATCTTATTGAGGATCTTCCTCTTTTTCACTGACCCTCCACCAAGCATAATACCCTTCTCCAGAGACTGGTCCCTTCTGGCAACATGACCAAAGTGAGAGGAAGTCTGGCCACTCTCACTTCTAGGGAGCAATCCAGCTGTACTTCTTTCAGAACAGATGTGTTCTTTCTTCTGACAGTCCATGTTATTTTCAGTATTCTTTACCAACACCACAATTCAAAGGCATCAACTCATCTTCGGTCTTCCTTACTCGTTGTCCAGCTTTCACATGTATGTGAGGTGATTGAAAATACTATGGCTTAGGTGGGCACACCTTCGTCTTCAAAGTGACATCTTTGCTCCTTAACGCTTTAAAGAGGTCTTTTGCAGCAGATTTGCCTAGTGTGATACGTCATCTTTCTTGACTGCTGCTTCCATGGGTGTTGATTGTGGATCCAAGTAAAATGAAATCCCTGACAACTTCAGTCTTTTCTCCATTTATCATGATGTTGCTTGTTGGTCCAGTTGTGGAGATTTTCCATTTCATTATATTGATGTGGATTACCATACTGAAGGCTGTAGTCTTTGATCTTCTTCGGTAAGTGCTTCAAGTCCTCTGCACTGTCAGTAAGCAAGTTTGTGTCACCTGCTTATCACAGGTTGTTAATGAGTCTTCCTCCAATCCTGATGCCACATTCCTCATATTTGCTCAACATACAGGTTGAATAAGTATGATAAAAGGATACAACTCTGACAAACACCCTTCCTGATTTAAAACTGTGCAGTATCCCCTTGTTCTGTTTGAATGATAGCCTCTTGGTCTATTTATAGGTTCTTCGTGAGCACAATTAAGTATTCTGGAATTCCCATTCTTTGCCATGTTATCCATAATTTGTAGTTATCCACATAGTCAAATGCCTTTGCATAGTCAGTAAAACACAGGTAAGCATCTTTCTGGTATTCTTTGCTTTCATCCAAGATCCATCTCACATCAGCAGTGATATCCCTTGTTCCATGTCCTCTTCTGCATCCAGCTTGAATTTCTGGAAGTTCGCTGTCAATATTCTGCTGCAACCATTTTCCATTTTTCAATTATCATCAGCAAAATTGTATTTGCATGTGATATTAATGATATTGTTTGTTAATTTTCATGTTCTTTTGGATCACTTTTCTTTGGAATGGGGACAAATATGGTTGTCTTCCAGTTGGTTGGCATCAGGATTGGAGGAAGACTCATTAACAACCTGTGGTAAGCAGGTGACACAAACTTCAAATTTCTTGGCATAAACCAGGAAGCGCCTCCAGCACTATATCAATTTGTGGAAACATCTCAATGAGTATTCCATCAATTCCTGGAGCCTTGCTTTTCACCAATTCCTTCAGTGGAACTTGGACTTCTTCCTACAGTACCATTGGTTCTTGATCATATGCTACCTCCTGAAATGCTTCAAAAATGACCAGTTCTTTTTGGTACAGTGACTGTATATTCTTTCCATCATTTAATATTTTGGTGCTTCCTGCATCATTTAATATTTTGCCCATAGAATCCTTCAATATTGCAACTCAAGGCCTGGATTTTTTTTCTTCAGTTCTTTCAGCTTAAGAAATGCTAAGCATGTTCTTCCCTTTTGGTTTTCTAACTCCAAGTCTTTGCACATTTCATTATAGTACTTTACTTTGTCTTCTCAGCTGCAGTTTGAAATCTTTTGTTTAGCTCTTATTTCATTTCTTCCATTTGCTTTAGCTACTCTCCATTCAAGAGCAAGTTTCAGAGTTTCTTCTGACAGCCAATTTGGTCTTTTTTTCCTTTTCTGTCTTTTTAATGACCTGTTGCTTTCTTCATTTATGATGTTCTTGATGTCATCCAACAACTCGTCTGGTCTTCAGTCATTGGTGTTCCCAGGGATAAATACAGATCCACTGCACCAGCCTGACGTCTGTTCAACATCCATTGTATGCAGGGATATGAGAGCAGAGTGATTAGTACAGAAAGCTATGTACACCACAAACTGGATCCTCTAGTGGGTAAAATGTTCCTATAAAGCACATCATTATGACAATTATTGAATTTGGAATGAGGAGTAATTTATCTACATTAGATAAAAGTATTGCCTTAATGTTACATTTCTTGAATATAATGACTGGATTGTGGTTATATAAATACATATCCTTGTTCTTAACAAATATATTTTGAAATATTAAGGGATAAAGAAACATAACATATGCACCCTACTCTCAGAAAAAAAAAAAAATTGTATAGATGTGTGAGAGAAAAAGAAAGATGGGAGGATAAAGAAGCAAATAGGATGAAATGTTAAAACAGGTAACTATAAAGAGAATATGAGAATCTTTTGTACTTTCCAACTATTCTGTAAGTTTGAAATTGCCAAATAAAAAGTTTTTATAAAACTTGAGAGTCCCAACATTCAGTATCTTGATAAGCATTACATTTCTATTATTTGTAACTTCTTCTAGTCATTTTTTTGTTCACATCAAATTCTTGCTCCTGAGATCCTCCTATAGCCTAGCCCTTCTCTCTGGAATAATGTGTCAATAAAATACTATTTTGGTTTATGCTCATTAAGTGTATTTTTAATGCACATAAATGTAATTTCATAGAATAAAAGGGAATATATACAATTTTTATATAAATTGCACACACACACCCCTGCATACCTACTCATATCCCACAGTCACAAACCTTCTGCATACCTGTATATTCAGCCACATACCACATACACATACTTCAGTCACAAACCCCTCTGCATATCTGTATATCCAGCCACATACCACATACACATACTTCAGGTGCATACCCTGACATACATAAACCCCAACATACTCCATTTGCTGCGTTTGACAACTCTGGGAGGATATCGGAAACAGGTATTCAGCATGGGCCCTTCTCATCCTTGTGAGTGATCCCTCTCTGAGTCAGGCTTAGGCCAAGTCATGGCTGCCTCCTCTGTGCCACCAGACATGGAACTTGGTCAGTCAAATACCAGGCAGGCTTTGTCTTTGAGTGCCCTGAGCTCCTTAAGCCCAAGCTACTTCTTCCTTTCTGTATTTGCCAAATGCAATAGGGTGGGACCAATAAAGGCAGCCTCACTAGTAAACCTGCCTAGGGCTCCACTCCCTGCTCTTGAGGCCTGGCAATCATCCTTAACCCGTTAGCTCTCATTGTGTGGAGCAGAGCACTCCCTCAGGCCATCAGCCTCTTCCTGGACTGCCTTCTCTTCCTTCCTTCTTTCGACTCCTACTCATCCTTCACCCAAGGGCACTTCCTCCTCGAGGTCCTCCCTGCCATCCCCTCTACCCTAAGTGATCCATAGATGCCTGGGCAGAGTTGTGCTAATACATTTTTAATAACCATTGCAGGGGAGTTGATTTGTATCATTCGCCAGTTTCCATGGTGTAAATACTCCCACTATGACTGATTTCAAGCTGCCAACAGTTTAACAATCAGCTCAAAACATTACTAAAAATTTAACAGTCATCTCTAGCTAGCAGATATCCTCTGATTCTGGTACAACACAACCCCCTGGGTTCTGTAGAATGTATCTCAACTTAGGACGTAGAGTGAGAAGCATCTTAGGCTCCTCAAACCTACCTGAATCAGCCATATGTGCTCCCCAAAAGAAGCAAGCATGACAGATGCCAAGATAAATGCTAAGTGAAATCCTGCCCTCCATTTCTCTCAGACAGGTGTGTCTTTGTCTTAGTTTAGGTTAGTCCAGAAGCACACCTAAGACAAGGATTCCAGTGAAGGTAGTTTATTTGGGATGCCGTTACAGAAAGTACCAGCAGGAGAGTACAGAAGTGAATCAGGGCAGGAACTGCAGTCTTAAGAGGGTGTGTTAATGAACAGACCATTGCTGTGGGCAACATGGGCTAACTCCACTAGGGGCCTCTGGGAGATGGTAACCCAACTCAGTTGGAGCTGGCCCACCTGAGGGGCAAGGAAGAGAGGACATTTTTTTCCACTGACTTTCACCCTAGCAGGAGCTCCTCTCTAAACATTATCACTACTCGGTACTTCCGATTAGCCCTGAAGCTACAGAATGGTGAGTGGGCAGGACAGGGGCAGCATCTGAAACACCTGACGCAACAGAGCTACGACTGTGTGTCACTCTATGTGTCTCTCCTAGCTGGAGCTCCTTGCTAGGCTGGGCAGGATCCTTGTTTTTAGTGGAAAATGGTTTTCATACTACTTTAACCCTACACACAGGCCCACAACTTATTCTGCTGCCAGTGGAAGAAACAGTGATGAGTCCCAATGCCAGAGAAAAAGCTGGGAGTGGTGGGCTTTTCCAGGGTTAAATTTTTCAAGGGGAAGTGTGACCTTATAATAATTCCACCACCATATATATCCTAAAGAAGTGAGAGCCAGGACAAGAACAGATAGATGCACACCCATGTTCATCGCAGCATTATTTACAATAGCAAAAAGTTGGAAACAACCTAGGTGCCCATCAACAGTAGAATGGATAACAAAACTATGGTACATACACACAATGGAATTCCATGCAAGACTAAAGAATAATGTAGAATCTGCAAAACATCGCAGAACATGGATGAACTTGGAGGGCATTATGCTGAGTGAAATAAAGTCGATCACAGGACAGATATTTTATTGGTTCATTCTTGTAAAAAGTCAAGGAAGGGTTTATATATGGAAGGAAACTCTTTCGGTTACCAGGGGTGGTAGGCGAGGGGAGGGAACACAGCAAAAATAAAAAATAAAGAATTCCACCAGCAGGCTGACTTTAGAACCCAATCCTCTGGGTCTCTGGGAGTGTTTGACAGAATGCCTTGTCCTTTCTTAGCTTCTGTTCACCACCATGTGAGCAGAAACAGCTCCATGGCATCCCCACTACAGCACAGAGTAGGGACCCTTAGGTCCCTGCTGACCGTTTAATTGAGGAGAGAAGGGAAATATGTGAAGAATGTAGGGGCGCCCCTGCCACCACCTCCCATACCCTCCTGGATGGAACAGCTGCCATGTCTCACATGTGCATGCACACATACACACACACTCACATACATACGCATCTCCCCAAAGTCAAGGACATATTTGTGGGAAGAGAAGACAGGAGAAAAGACAAGTGAGATGGAAGCCTGAAAGAATTTGCTTTCGCAAGAGTTTATTTTTCAGAGTCTGTAGTCATGAGCCAGGGCAGGGCAGACCCTAGGACTCTTCTGTCCTGGGTGCCAGATTCTGGAAAAAATCCTTGATTCTCTGTCCAATTCTCTCAATCTTTTCACCAATCCTTTTTCCACCTCTCTGTAAGAGTCCACCCAAGAAGCCAATTCTCTTGACACGCAGAGGCTGTTTACCAGGAAGAAACAGGCTCCTTGTGGGACCTGGACCCAGGGTCAAACCAAGACCACTTCCCACCTACCCTCCCCCTTTCTGGGCTGCCTCAGGAGCCTTGGAGCCCCAGATTACCCTCTAGCTGTGTGACCTTTGGAGCATATGGCTGAATCCCTACAACTAATAAATAGATGAGAAAACTGAGGTCTGGAGATGACAAGGGCCTCCCAGGGTCACACAGCCCATCCCCAGCAAAGCTGGATGGAGAGCTCATTCCTTTAAGTAAAACCCACTGCCATCGAGACAGAAGTAGATTGCCTCATCTCCTGTGGAGCAGCTGATGGATTTGAACCAACCTTCTGGATAGTAGCCAAATGCCTTACCCACTGCAATAGCAGAGCTCTTTACATTCCTCTAAGTAGCGATTCCTAAACTCTAGCAGGACTCAAAATTCCCGGTAGGCTTTATTAAGATACAAATTGCTGGATCCCAGCCCTAGAATCTGATTCAGTACATTTGAATGGGCCCCAAGAATTTGTATTTCTAACCAGTTCCCAGGTGAGGACTGCATTTTGAAAATCACTGCTCTAAGGGACTGCAGGGGAGCTCTGGTAGCATAGTGCCTAAGGCACTTGACTGCTAACCAGAAGGCTGGCGGTTCAAACCCACCAGCCACTCCTTAAAAGGAAGAGGGGGCAATTACTTCCGTGGTGATACTGCCTCGGAAACCCAAGCAGGGGTCGCTATGAGTCAGGTCCGACTCAATGGCACATAACAACAACAAGGGACTGCAGAACAACTGGAGCACTGGAAGTTCAGGCTAAGGGAGGTGCCCAGAGTAGGAGGGGCTTTCCCTGTTGTGGGTGGGGCAGTGATTATTTGGTCCATAGGATATACCACATTCTGGTCTGCTCCCATCAACCCCAGCCCAGAACAGGCCACTCACCCCATCACAGCTGATGTCAAAGGAGCCCGTGGCCTGGTCCAAGGTGACGGTCCCCACACACCTCTTCACCACCTGGGACAAGGAGGTACTAGGTCAGACTGAAATCACTGTGTGTAACCCTCCCAGCCTCACCCCAGGGGCTAGAAATGTTCCCTGGAGACGCATTGCTCAGTTCTTTTGGAAGCACCACCAGCACCCCCCAATCCTAGCCTCACCCCATTCTCCTTGAAGTCACATTGCTCAGGAAACCGTTGTGTCAACCTAGGGCACACCGTCTCCTTCACTGTGAAACTCACAGGCTTTGGGATGTCCGGATTCTCATCCTGGGCAGGGGTAAGAAGTGGGGAGACTGGGTTCAAGCTCATTCTTCCTGAACCTGGTCTCTGTCTCCTTGACACCGACCCCCGGTGTCAAGGGGCAGCCTTTCAACAACACCCACAGTACACTGGGCACAGGACTTAGTGCTGGGGCACAGAGGTGAGGAGGACAGAGCCCATTCCTGGCCTCCACAAACATCCAGTAAGTGGAAGCAGACCACAGAAAAGCTCTAATGAGGAGCACCTCCCCCAATGGGGTGGGGTGAGGGAAATCAGGGAGCCACCCAGAAGTAAAGACATCTCTACTAGAACCTCAAAGCTGGGAAGATCCCTTCCCTGTGTGGGGGATAATGGGGTAGAGAGAAGATTTAAAGCAGGAGAAGTCACTCCCCTCCAGACCCAATGACCTGCCCTTGACCCTGGAGCTTCCAAAAGCCCCTATAGCCTGCTGGAGAGAAGAGGCACCTCTGCAAACAGCAGGGATTCTAAGGTTAGAAGCTCACAGTTCTGGGAAAGCTTCCTGGGAGAGGTGGGACCACGCTTAAAGAGGGAAATACCTTCCTGGCAGAAGGTACGGCATGAACAGAGGCCAGGACATGGGACTGAGAGTGGTTGATTATAAGAGCAAACCTAGCCAGAACTGATCCCCTACCCACTTACTCCTTCAGGCTGCTCCTCCAGCTCCAGGAGGCGGTAAAGATTGTCATCTGAGGACTGCTGGTTGAGGCCATCCACAGCACGGAGCACAGCGTCCTGGTAGCTGAGGGCCTGGGCAGCAACACTAGGTACCACCAAGCCCAGAAGCAACAGCAACAGTGACCACTGCTGCAGGGAAAGGCTGCCCCTCTGAGTCTTCATTTTCCCCAAGTCTGCCTTCGGCCAGCCCACAGGAGCCTTCTTTATGCCAAGCCTGAGCCTGGCACAAAGGCCCAATGAGGGATCTTCCTGACCCACCCCATCATTGGCCACCTGCCAGGTTGTGGGCTGGAGGTTGCTTCAGCCCCTGCTGTTGCCTCACAGGGCTTGGTGGGCAATGAATGAGGACACCTGTGTATAAGGTAAATAAATGGTTTCTCCATCTCCCTGTGAAAGCCTCTCCCAAGCCCCACAAGGGAGTGTCCTAGCCTGGGTTGCTTAAGAGGGTTGAACCTCCAAAAAGAGGAAGAGAGTCAGGCATCCATCTTACATCCTTCTACCTCTATGGCCTCCTTAGGAGTCAGGGTAATAGAGTGTGTTCACCTCTGAATCCCCAGCTCTAGGCATTGCCTGCACACAGTTAATATTTGATGAATGAATAACAGTAGACCACACCCACACACACATGCCACAGAAAATTTACCACCCAAGAGAGAAGTTGCCTGTTCAGCTCAAGGCCACACCACCCTGTTCTTTGCACCCAGCTCTCAGCTGGTTCTGGAGCACAGTTTGATTTGTTCCCTTTCCTGGATCCTTCTTCCCTGACTTTGCCAGTCTAAAAATGCCCCCAGCCTCCTCCAGACACAGCCCATTGCCATTCGCACCTGAGGAAGGGTCATCTAGACATGCTGACTCCACTTCTTTGTGCTTTCTTCCACTCAAGGTCACTGCAAGACTAGCCAAACCTCGCTGGATCCAGTGGCCACTCTCAAGCTTTGTCTTTATCAACACTACCTAGACACCATGCCCCTCCCTCCTCCTGAAACTAATCCCCCACACACACGCACATACACACACACATGCCCATCTTCCCTGAAGCAGCTCTCTTTATTTCCTCCTTGTCTCCCTGGTGGCTCCTTCTCAATCTGTTATAGATTGAATTATGTCCCCAAAAAATATGTGCCATAAATCCTAACCTCTATACCCCATGGTTATAATCCCATTTCAGAGTAGATTGTCATGTTAATGAGCAGATGTGTCTTGAGTCAATCTCCTTTGAGATACAAAAGAGATTAAACAAGCCATTAGAGCAGAGATGGAAAAGATATATGCCAAGCCACATGAAGATTACCCAGAACAGAAGCTCAAAGAAACAAAGACTTTCCTCCAGAGCAGACAGAGAAAGGCTTCCCAAAGAGCTGGTACTGTAGAACTTCTAGCCTCTGAAACTGTGAGAAAATAAATGTGTTTGGTAAAGCCATCCACTTGTGATATTTCTGTTATAGCAGCACTAGATGACTAAGGCAATCTCTTCAAGGGCCCTCCTCTTAATGTCCAGAGCTTGTGGGGTTGCACTCTGGGCCACTTCTCTTCCCACTCTTCATATCACCTGTGCACATCTCTTCCCAGGACACAATGATGACAGACAGAGACCACCTGGCCTGTGTCTCTGAGTTCAAGACTCCTGTGAACATCATGGTTGGCTTCAGCCCACAGTGCCCTAGAGCCTGCCTAGAGCATGCTCACTCCATGACTCCTTTGCTGGAACCCTGGAAATTACCCCCACCATCCCCTTCTCCCTCCTGGGGACACTCTCCTCCGACCTCCCCAACTGTCACTGCCCAGTTTCTGCCACCATCTTCTCTTCCCCAAACTATGGTCACAATCTCTAGACTCCACCTTGTCTAGGCTCCAGGCTCTCCTCAGACCACAGTCCATCATCCATATCATTGTTCAGGGGCTGCTTAAATGAATGGTTTCTCCATTTTACCCCTCTCCCTTCAAGAGCCTACACACCCCTCGGCCTTACACCAGGGCCTGCAGCCATATTGTTCCCCATCACCCTCATTCCCATCCCTGCACACCCCAGCTGCCAGGCTATTCAGGCTCCTCTGAGCATCCTGCTCTTTCTGTCACCTCTATACCTGTCCCTCTACCTGGCATGCCCTTCCATTTTGTGAAGCCTTCCCTGACCTCCAATAAGACAGAACAACTTCTTCCTCTTGCTCACACAACCTCCAAGAAGTCTCCCCTGATTTCACCTCTAAAGACTCCCTGTTCAGGACCAGGTCTGCTAGTCTGATAGAGCCTGGTGGAACCAATGAGACTATGGCCCCTAGCTGCCCTTCAAGTCTAGAATTGAACCCACACCTGTGGCTTCCAGCCAAACAAAAGACAGGCGTATGAGTTGAACATTTACCCAAGGTAGATACCCTCCTTGGAGAGAACAATCATGGGAGAAAGCTGTGTATGCAGAGGGAGACAGCTCAGGGGGCAGGAGTACATGGAGGGGTGGACATAGGGAAGAGATAACTATGGGGAGGAAGTGAGAAAGGAGCTGTTGCATTGGGGTAAATTGTAGTCAATGTCATGAGACAAAGTGTATGTGAACTGTTGTATGGAAAGTGAATTTGCTCTGTAAACTTTCACCCAAATCACAATTTAAAA